ACATGACTTTCGCGTTTACGCAATTTATATTTATTTTTCAAAATTTTTTGCAAGCAAGTCAACGAGATAAACAAAAATATTTATATTAAAAATAAGAGAATTGAAAAAAAGAACCACCCAAAGTACGGTACATTTGTATTGAGTATGAAACCAATTCACCCGATGATTTTTAAGAAGTAAAATCAGAAGATCAATTGGTAATATGAATAGCTCAACAGGGGAGCTAAATATTCATTAAAAATGTGTATTCTGAATTATTATTATATCTAAAGCAGTATACAACTAAACTGTAAGAAGGGTTGATAAATTCTGCAGGTTTTCATGCAAACCAAAATTTAACATTGCAATTAAGTACTACAATAAACAAGCAGCCTCTCGGCTGGAATAGCTCCACTGTTAGCAGTGCACATTTCAATTAAAGAGCAGAAAATATCATTAGAAAATGAATAATATGTATAGTATCAAAACAATCAGACTTGCGGTTTTCAACAAGAAGTGGAAAATATCACTTTTTACCAAAAATTACAAAAATATTCATCAAAATTAGAGAATTGAAGATATCATTACAAAATGAACAAATCTGAGAGAGGTCCACATGTAGTACCTATATATGTAATATCAAAGCAATTACTTGCGGTTTTCAACAAGAAGTCGAAAATAAATGACAAAAATATTCACAAAAATTAGAAAATTGAAGATATCATTACAAAATGAACAAATCTGAGAGAGGTCCACATGTAGTACCTATATATGTAATATCAAAGCAATTGGACTTGCGGTTTTCAACAAGAAGTCGAATATATCACTTTTTACCAAAAATTACAAAAATATTCACCAAAATTAGAAAATTAAAGATATCATTACAAAATGAACAAATCTGAGAGAGGTCTACATGTAGTACCTATATTAAGTAATATCAAAGCAATTGGACTTGCGGTTTTTAACAAGAAGTTGAAAATATCACTTTTTACCAAAAATGACAAAAATATTCACCAAAATTAGAAAATTAAAGATATAATTACAAAATGAACAAATCTGAGAAAGGTCCACATGTAGTATCTATATATGTGATATCAAAGCAATTGGACTTGCGGTTTTTAACAAGAAGTTGAAAATATCACTATTTACCAAAAATGACCAAAATATTCACCAAAATTAGAGAATTGAAGATTTCATCATGAAATGAACAAATCTAAGAGAGGTCTATCCAAGGTACATATACACCAAGTATCAAAGCATTCAGGCTTGTAGTTTTCAAGAAGAAGTCGAAAAAGTAAAACATTGACACGGACGACGACAACACAATCACTCATATGATAAGCTCCGCTCGACAAAGTCAACAGCGGAGCTAAAAAGCTAGTTGGTAGTTTTATTCTGATTTGAACAAACAATAAAACTACATCATTTACAATGTACACGTAGGTGTATATATTATTACATAAAAACTATTGAAATTTAGCTGCTTCTTGCGGCTTGTACACTATGCCAAACCAAATACAAACCATGGACAACAAAGTGTTTAACTTTCATACAAACCTTTCTTTCTTGTTTCCTGGCTACGTATTTGTCGTCATCTCTCCATTTCTCGTCCTCAATTGCTTTTTCTCTTCTTTCATCTTCTATTGCCTTGGCTTCCGCCTTTCTGGCTTTCGCAACTACAGCCTTCGAGTTCTCACCTTTAAATTTTTTCGGCATTGAACTGTTATGGTATCACCTGTTAAAAAGAAGTTGTATTACAACAGTTTATTTTTTTCATCTTTCATAAAATAAACCATAATAACTTTATTAAAACCATTGTCTTTACCATTGAATTGTATAATGTCATCACATCAGATAATGAATATTTAGACATGAACCCAAAGCATGTAGGTACAAGTATTCAGAAATAAATAAAGAAGAGGGTATTAGAAAAGAATGAAAGTGAAAGTTTTGGGGCAACAGGTGTATGAAAGTAAAATTGTCATAAATTTCAATATTGAAATCATACAATTTGTGATGACATTGTTGCTAAAACTCATTTGATCTAATCGTTCCATCCTGCACACTCACTCCTGAGACTTGCGTCGCTTTCACAATTGCTTGATATTGGCCGGTTGAGTCATTACTTGTTAGTACAAGAATACAAAATGAAGCACAACGACAGTATGGTACTTGTATCAGCTGAGGCACATTGCCTGACTTCATACTTTCCATCAATAACACCAAAGAAAGTTGTTCTGCACTGAGCGAGCATTTGCATTCAATGACAAGATTCTATTCCCGTCTATACTTTTAGTGCTAATTTCTATGTCCAATGAAAACAAAGGAAAACGTTTGAATATGATGTCAGTATCCTGGAACACGTTCAATGTTAGTGATGAAATGTAGTGTACCCATATGGGGGGCAATTTGAGCAAGTGCAGATAGAGATACATTTTGGAACAAATAAATACACTGCTTTTTTAAACAATTAAAATTAAGTTTATTGTTTTAGTGCTAGATACATGTATATGACAATTAAATGTCAAAAACCTAAAAACTAATTATAATCAGATGCAAGGAGTGAGGTGGGGGGAAATGTGAATAAATATTCCATTATTTGTGAAACAAGATGATGTGACTTGTAATTTCCAAGTATTGCAATCCGATAGTGAATGCCACCTATATTCTTAGGTGTGCTCATATCTCTCAGAATGAATTACAATCACATGCAAATTCTTTCCTGTCAACAAGCTAATTTTCCCTGAAAAAACATTTTGGCTGTGAAGTTTATTTTCACTGATTTGTGATGAGTTGAACGTTAAATATAGGAAAACAGATATTCACTTGATTTTATTTTCACCGATTCATCCCTTCAGTGAAAATAAAGTCCAAGTAAAAGTAACTAAAAGTACTTTTAAGTATTAAAAGTGTTTTTTTTTTCTTGAAGTGCACACAAACCACAAATTACTTTTATTAAAGTGGAGGGCTTGTCACTCTCATTCGATTCCTTAAGCGACGATAACAAATGCATGCTAAAAACCCAAAGGCTTCTGGGTAGACACTTGTTTGTAAACGCTATTGCCGCCTGCCGCATGCACAGGTGACGACTCCCCCTGGTTTAATGCATTTATTAAAATACAACTTATTTTGACTACAGTCTCACATCTGTTATTGTACTGTTGCTAAAAAAAACATCTCCATCCCAAAAATAATAAATTAAGGAATGCTTTAATAGAAATTAGAATTTCCTGCCAAATATGATATAATATGAGAAAATATGATATTATTGTAAATGTGTTAAAGTGGGGGTGCCGTCCACTTGCGGATGCTTCAGATGGCCATAACTTGTCATTGTTTACAAACAAGCGTCAACCCATGAGCCTTTGCGTTTTATTGTGTTGTTATCGTCGTTTGGGTCTCATTCTGCATGTACGC